CAAACTCACATCCATATTCTATGAACTGTTGTTAAGGCTTACAAAGAAACTAGTTAACTGAAACGGAAACTGTCATTTTTTTCCTGCAACATCATGCACCAGAAACATGATGGCGAGTTTTAGCCTTATTCTAGTCGACATTATGATAATCCCAAATGCTTCGGAAATGATTCAAATAATTCAGACATGAATTAATTGAGGTGTGGCCTGTTATGAAAATTTAAATCACCTCCACAGTTACAGCACTCTTTGTTTCAAGTTTCAAGCAACTCACAGTTGTGTTTTCTGAGGTTTCAGCTGCCTGTACAGTCCGGGAAAATACGCAAGTAACCTCTTCAGCTGCAAACCTTTCAGTACCTTTTAATGCTATAGAACACTGGTGTATGTGTTGGCTGCTGTAAGGACGGCTGTGGAGTTGAAAAGTTCAGCCGGTTAGTGGTGGCCAGGTGTCTCGCAGGCAGGCAAGACGCTTCACCATATGGCTGCTTCTCGCCACCCGACGCCAGCCGTCCCAACCACTGACTTTCACATGCTTTACTTTCAAGGTGAAAAGTTGCATCTCGTCTACAACACTGACCAACATGCTGAAAGAGCTCTATGTGTTTACGTTCATAAAGGAGAGAGACTTGTTCTCCATTAAGGTAAAAAATTGTGCAGGTATGACAATTAATAACCTGGCTCGAAAGCGAGGATGACAGATTTGATGCATTTTTGATACACCAACAAAGTTGCAGATTATTTAGCTTCTCTCCTGCATGCTGATTGGAGTTTTAAAGAGGTAATGAAGTCCTGGTGTGTCCTCCTGCTGGGTTTGTATTTGGTGAGGGGTGCCTGTGTGTCGCTGATAGAGGGATCTCTCTGACACGGCTGCTCTGGCCCGCCGCATCTGGGAGCCAGTAGCGGCAGCCGCTGGGGGGAGATAAGGCAAGGCTAGCCGCTCGCCTGTAACACACGTTTTGCCCCCCTCTGCCCTGCTCTCCTCTCCTCCCCTGCTCCTCCCTCCCGTCATCCCCATGACCTTATCTCAGGGGAGAAGGCACCACTGGGTCGCTACTGTGATAGCACCTGCCAGAACCAGAGCTGGCCTCTGGTGATTATGGGGGAATCATTATCTCTCTCTCCCCAAAAACTCATTTTATACCTGCCAACATCTGAGGGGAGGGGGGCAAAGGAGCAGAGGCTTCTATAACAGGTAACACAGAGAAAATTGTGTGTGTGTTCATGTGTGTGTATCAGGAGAGTGGGGTACATGGGCATAAAATACATGCAGCTAAGCATCTTGACTTTTTGCCATGAAGAATTTGAATTTGATATAAATGTGATGAGATGAAGATTATATGTCATGAAGGCTGATGGCTTATGTACATATATCCCTCCATATGGGCAAAACGGTGGTGGTTTATGGAGGGGTTACACCATCGTCATAAACAAGAGTCAAATGAAGGTAAATGAGGGCAATTCTTACAAAAGCTGGAGAAAATATGTTCTTCTGTGGGATGCCAAGTTGAGAATATGAGTTTTTAATTTTTAGCTTATATGAGGCTTAGTGTGTGTTCAGTCACTTGGTGCAAAATCCAATGTGTAGGATTTAGGGGGATATATTGGTAGAAATGGAATATAATACAATAAGTGTATGTTTTCTTCAGCGTATAATCATCTGAAAATAAGAATCGTTGTGTTTTCGTTACCTTAGAATGATTCGTTCATGTCTACATAGTGAGCGGGTCCTAGTCCAAGGAGTCCACCATGTTGCACCGCCATGTTTCATCGGTAGCCCAGAATGGGCAAACCAAACACCAGCCATAGACAGGGTCATTCGGGTTTTGCGTTTTCACATCAGGCACTGTAGTTAACACCCCCTCCGTGACGAGCCAAACAGCATTGGAAAAACACTGGAGAGGAAGAGACCTCTGCAGATAATTCAGCTCCCTGTAAAAACCTCCTGAATGTCTGGATCTTAAATTGTTGGGGAAAAAAGGCAAAAACACACACAGTAGATGCTTGGCTAGGGGCGCATTTGCGATGAGCCAGAGAGCGTCAGAGAAAACAACACATTCTCACTCCAACTTCGTCACATATTGACGTTTGGTCATGGACTTTCCACATTCACATATGACGTGCAAGGTACCCTGGGTGCGTTGGTTATTGACGTTCTTGGACGCCGCGTCAAGTTCCGCCTGTTACATGCATTGTCGTCTTTCAAAATACACTTCCGTTTGCACAGGAAATTTAACAATTACATACAGTCTCCTTTAAAATGAACACACTTTGTCAGTACAGCACCACAAACTGACGTTTATTTTCCTTCATCAACAAACACACATGGTTTGATTTAGGAAAAAAGAACAGGGTTTGGTTTGGCCCCTTCTGCCTGCCCCAGTCGGACTTTCACCTCCTTAACTTTTGTCCATGTCCCACCACGTTGCCCTGTGACACCTCCAGGCAGCATTGAACTATAACTGGTCATGTATTTTAACAACGTTTAAAGGACGCCTTTTTTCGTTGGTTTCTGACCCCTCAAGTCATTGCCCAAGCACCAGATTTTGATGACTTCAGAGTGAGACTTGGCTCAAGAAACACTGACTTGATCCAGTTGTTTTGGAGAGGAAGAGACCTTTGCACATAGTTTGACTCCTGACCACTGAAGGAATTCTAACCTGGAGTTCACACTTGGCACACAAGAGAAGTTTCAGCTGGTTGCAATCTGCGATCCTCACCGCTAGATGCCACTAAATCCTACACACTGCTCCTTTAATTTGTTTAACTACGCCTCTTTGCTCTATCCATTTATATTTTTTCCTCCTTCCACAATTAGCTAATCAGTTTGAAACTGTAGTGACCATCCCTTCTCAGTTCACATCATCCAGTCAAGTGTGGTTAAAACTTTCAGTCCCCTGTGCAAGAGCCTGTGCAGTTTGTCCTTAATTTTTGCATCTTTTCTGACTCACCCTGTTCTCTGCACGTGTATCTTGTCGTTTATTCCCAATTCTGTGATGAACATCCACTCCCCACCTGCCCTGCCACCTGATGTTCCCACACAGTTCACATACTCATATCAAATGACCGCATGTTTTCATTCTGACTTCACTGAGAACTTTTAGTTACATGGTTCTACCACTTAACCCTATGCCAGAACATAATCAGTCACTCTTGGAAGTCAGATCTTAAATGAAATGTAATTTGCACTTTGATGTTACTGTCATTGAGATTTGCAGTTTATTGACGTTAATGTAAAATGTGAATGTCTGACACATGAACACTTGTAAATGTAGGAATTTCCATTGGTTTAGCCGCTGAGAAATAAAAAAAACACCTAAATTTCACATGCTGTATACACTGTGAGTTTATAGAGAAATCAGTTCTCTCTCTCTCTGTATCTTTCTCCCCCACACCCAAAGACAGCAACACAAGTTTCTCTCACTTCCTCTCTGCTGATGACCATATGTGTGCTGGTTTCAGCCAGGCACTTGGCACATCTGTGTACTCACATCCCCTCTCACTTCTCTCATCAGCACACTGCTTGCTTTAACCAAAATATGCAGTGTGTGTGTGTGTGTGTGTGTGTGAGTGTGAGTGTGTGCGTGTGTGTTTGTTGCTGTCATATACACGCAGCCCACTCCATCTAGGTTAGGGGTTAATGAGTCCTGGGGGGTCAGAGGTCAATGAGGTGATGGCTACAATGTTGCTAGAGTTTCACACAAGAGCCCCTTTCAGCTGTCGGAGCTGTATGAAGTTTACTTTGACATCTTTGATCCTAAATGTGAGATAGTCGTGTCTCAGCATATGTCTTTTCCCAGAACAGGCGTGCTTTCTCTCTTTTTGCTCTCTGTCACCCACGGTGTGGTGGGGGGATGAACAAAGTACCAAATTACATTAGCAAAAATAAAACGACATGTTCAAATAAACAAATTTGGCCCATAATTCTTGTCTTTTCACCTGAGTGTATTTCAAGTAGAAAACCTTTGTTTATCTGGAATCCATGAAATGAGAAGTAAACATGGAGTTGGTAAGATGAGCTGTCCACATCAAACTCAAAAACGAAATTGTGGTGGGAATTTCTGGTGAAATGGGAATTTTGTTTGTGGGTTGTTGTTTTTCAAAACATAGTCTGGAGTCTGGCTTTGAAGAGAGAATAGATAAGTTTCAGTCTTAGATCAGTTCCGCGTTGGAAAGAGGTTTTTGTTTGGGAAGTACTGACTGGATAAATGAGACTTCAATTATACTGCACGAGTTGTGTGAGAGTTTGTAAATGTATGTTTTGATATAGTTTAAAGTAGTTAAACGCAGTCGCCTACGACTTGAATTTATCAAGAACTTTCTTCTATTTTGGATTCTCTTTTTACCAGAGGTATGCAAGTTTAACATAGTTTTCCTCACAAATTCAACATAAAACAGTTTGAGTAACTGATTTACAAATGGTCCTTTGGGGGGTGAAGTATTCTTTGAATGATGACACCCTTGGTTGTACTTCCTGTTGCACTTTACTGTGAACTATCATGCACACAAAATATGGCAAAGCAAGACAAGAAAAGAACAGATGCATGCTATCGAAGATGAGAAGCTTAAAAAATAAGACAACACGGTAGAAAATGTCTAGTTTGACGTTAGGAGAGATGAGTTGAGCAGATAGTTGGACAAAAAGGATGAATTTTGGAATGTGGACAACAGAAAGTGTCAACATAGTCATTGAGCAAGGTACACAAAAGCAAAGGACTCTGGTAAGGAGGGAACTGCAGATGCAAGGAGGGAAGGAGTGGCCGCTGGCCGCAGACACAGCTGGTTCCTGACAGAGGAAGCCCAGACGGAGGCCCAGGTCCTGCTGCCTGCTGCTGTCTGCTGCTATCACCACAGCCAGCTCTGCTGCCTGGCCTCCCCAGGGGCTGCAGCCCTGCAACATGCAGGAACACGCGCACAAACTGTAAGATACTAACACACACTTCTCTTTTGAGCTGCAGTGGCAGGCAGAGCAGGAGGAGGGTTCAGATGAGAGCACAGCCCCTCAGCCAGAGCCACGAGACAAGCTGACCTGCCACTGACATACACACACTTTCTCACACACACAAACACACACACACACACACACTCTGCGGGAGGGGAACAAAGAGAGAACCAGATGAATGGAAAAGACGAAAGAAAGGTAGATTTATACACAAGATATGCCAAGTACATCTAAAGGAGACAACAAAACAGACTTGGAGCTGAAGACAAAGACTGTTACTCATGTGTGTTGATGTCCAACTAACATGCATTGTTGTAATGCACAGTTGTATGAAGTCGTGAAAAATACCAGAGGAATCCAGCAATGACACAACAAGGATCAAAGTCTTTGGTGAGGAGGTGAAAGAAAGAAGAGGAAGCAACCTCTGGCTGTTTCTCCCTTTTCTCTGTTTGGAGCTTTAACAACAGCTACGTCCTTGTCCTTGCATGGCAGTTCAGTGGGTCAAGTAATGATCTACTGAAAGCAAAGTGGAGTATTATGAGCAAGAACATGCGAAGCCTCAAGGACATATGGAAGAGAAGTTCCAGCAGAAAATCCTTGTAACATTTTGATCCTATAGAGATTATCAGCACTTACTGTCTTTGCTACACTACTTGGACCTACAGACCTGCCAGTGGAAAGTTGATTGATTTGAAGGTCCGAACATGTCTGCCGAGGTCCATTTGGAGCGCCAGAAGAAGGCCAACCTCAGAGCCGGGGCTTCTTCTGCTCTGGCGTTTGCTCCACGTGTCCCGACGGTCACACTGATCAGCCACAGAGAGCTGCGGGATAAACACACCGCTCACAGACTCCAGCCCGGAAGCCTTGATCTGAACCTGGCAACCAGCAGCTACTACAGATGTAGCGAAGGTAGGAGCTTGTCATCTTATAGGGACCTGTTTTATGAAATCTTTTGGCAGTGTGTTACCGTGATGAGTGATTGAGGGTCCCGCAGCTGTCAGTTGTGCTCATTAAGTTGGAGTGATTGACGGATAATCAGTTTGTGTTGACTTAGCTCCGCATGCTGTAAGGGCAATTTGAGGTTTCTTCATCTTGTGAGTAGTCCTGTTACATGATGATTGAAGCAAAGGTTTCAAGGTTAGAATAGCATCAAACATTACCAGCTAAATGAGTTTATGATTCTGTGTAAAATGATCTAAGGTTTGTTTACTGTATTTTGTCTATAACCCAAACTCGCTTTAGAGATCAAATTGACTCATGACCAGGATTAAATCAGCCACCAAGTGCAATTTTTCCCAACAAAATCCTCTTATTGTCATGTATTAGGGTCTTCATATAAGCTGTCAAGCACAAATACACTTGTCATTATTTTTAAAAACCCCAGAGGAGCATATTTGTCTCATAGAAAGGGAAAGAGGTTTTTAGAGCGTTGGGTGGGTGGGGGGTCTTCCTCTGGGCATTCCCATACAGCTGCAGGGAACTAGCTTCTTGAGTTTCTCTGTTCAGCTTCACTAGCTCCATAACACACACGCAGGTCATGAGGGCGCATAGCAGTGAATGACAGAGCTAAAACTTTAGTATTTTGCAGGCAGATGAAGGATACTTGAAAGAGATCCAGGAAAAAGGGAAGAGAAGAAAAAAATGTAATTGATTCTTAAAGCGCTGAAAACACTGAAGTGGCGCCTTTAGGTAAAAATGAAAACCTTCACTTAATTCAGCAAAGGGTTCGAGGAGAGAGAGATGCATTAAGAATCAGACATTAAAGGCCCAATTTTATAGACTCTAAATATGTAGAAACTGTAAGCCAGAGCAAGGACTAATACCCAACATAGTGAATTACCTGCAGCGCCTGCCGTCTCTTGGCAGTAATGAGCTTTGTGAACGTTGCAGCGATAAGGCCTCTATAATTAGGCTTAGTCATAAGCATCCCCCCTGTAATTCTGTGATAAAAACCCAGTAGAACTCTGGTGTCGGTGCTCCAACCCATTCATCTCTCTCTCTCTCTCTCTCTCTCTCTCTCTCTCTCTCTCTCTCTCTCTCACACACACACACACACACACACACACACACATATAAATGCATACACTGAGGAAATCAAAATGTGTCAGTGTGAACTGTAAACACAGCTCTTTGTCTCAAGTAGTTTACCTGATGTAACAGTGTGTGTGTGTCCAGCGATATGTTCACACTGCATGGAAAAGAAGCGGTAGTAAAGTGCATGCTCGTGCATGTGCATGTGTGTGTGAGGTGTTGTGAGCTGCAGCATAGGCTTCCTGTGAGGGAGCAGATGTCGCAGAGCTCAGGCACAGCTGCGACGGGCGATAACCGTGGTGGCAAGAATATGTCGGCACGCTGGCTCTTCTCCCTGGGTCTTATCAGCCTCACACAGCATACAGACACACACACGCACACACACACACACACACATACACACTCATATAGACACTCTACAATAAGGAACTGCCACCCAGCACTAGCACACCCTCACAGCAAGCCCAGATAGAGGGAGGAAGGCAATGAGAGAGATGGAGAGAGGAAGAAAAGGAGAAAGGACTAAATCAAGGGACTTTGAGGGAAAAGGTGCAGTGAATCCCTAACAAAGCCTTGGCTCATGTCTGCTGTATCATAGACTTCATAATTTTGTGCCAATCCTAATCCTCTATAGCTATGAATAGGCTATTCTTCACAGTTTTCTCTCAAAAGAAAAGATAACCTTTATATAAGTACACAACTTTGCTACTTTCCCATCTTGATATCGACAATATTATTACCAGGTCTCTGAAGACCTGTTTGCACAATCAGTCACTTAAAATGGACTTGAAGAGCGAGTTTATTTTGATACCAGTATCTTTCTCATCTTTAAACTCAATCTTTTTTAAAATTCAAGCTCATTCCAATGTCACACAGTTGTAAATCTGATTTTGTGAATTGGGAATTGTAATACCTGTTGTGTAAGTTTGTGTGCACCCACGAATTAAGGCAGGTTTTTAACTTCGGGGTGAAAGTCCAGAGTTGGTTAGATCCATTCAGCACCCCTCCCTTCTTATCATACGCCCACTGTCAAAGCAGCAGTATTGGATGAGTTGGATTGTTGGCCGCTGCCTCTAAAACTGACACGCCGGGTGCTAATGATACCACCGTGAAAGTTGCCTCTGTGTCGGAGTCTGATGCTGACATCATTGACAAAGCAGTATTTGATGAGTTGGCAATGAGAACAGGCTGGGTGACGATGTACCTTACCATACTCAAAGTTGAATTGGTTTCACATGGTTCAGCCAACCACTCTCCTGGGGGAAAGTCCTGTGTTTTGTGACCCATCCACCACCCCAACCTGCCTTATGTGGACTACCTCCATCTTTACTCCCATCAACCAACCTGGTCTTTTTCCGAAGCCATTGAAATTTGGCGCTTGGGCGGTGACTTCCAGCGTCAGCCAATGACGAAAAAGCTGTCCTTTAATGTCGGCATGATATGCAGCCAGACGGCGTTATAGTTTAACAGTGGTCGGCCGTGTCGGTGGGACAAGAATGAAAGTTGTGGTAGCGAAAGTCCGAGAAGGGCAGGCAGGAGGGGTGGTGGATATGTCAAACAAACATGGACCTTCATGCAGGAGAGCGGTGTTCACGTCCTGTAAGATTATAAATCCTAATCCTAACCATGTGTTTTTGTTGCCTAAACCTGACCACGTGTGTTCGCTGTTGGACGAAAAAAAAAAACGTCAAGTTGCATTTATTTTGAAAGAGACTGTATGTAAATGGTAAATTTCCTGTGAAACCTAAATGTATTCTGAAAGACAATGCATGTAACAGGCAGAACTTGACACAGCGTCCCAGAACGTCAACAACCAACGCATCCAGGGTACCTTTCACATCGTATCTGAACGGGGAAGGTCCATGACCAAACGTCGATAAGTGATGAGCTGGGAGTGGGAATGTGTTGCATCAGCATATTGGTCACATGATCTCAGCCTTCTCAGCCAGAATACATAGGTTACATATGAATTACTGGTTCATTATTACGTGGGTTATAAACGGATTGTGGTGCATTACTTTTCGCAAGTATATGTATGAACAGTGCATGAGGACAGCCTGGAGTTTTTTGATCCTGTAAATGACTCACCTCATTTGCCTCTAAATAACTTGTTTTGCTTACAGTTTCTCCGTGTCATCATATCTCAGCACTTAAGCTGATGAACAATGTTATCTTAAACACAATGACAGAGCAAAAACTACATTTAGTGGTAAAATGTTAAAACCTTACTGTACATGTAAAATGTGACTTCAACTTAACTTGCTTGCTTGATAATTGCATGACTGTATTCCTGACGCAGATACAGGCAAATAGATGTGGCAGAGATCATCAAAAAATGTGGGAAAAGACTGATGTTGATGCAAGAAGAGGGAGGAAAACAGAGTAAATCAGGGATAGAAAAAAGTGAGAGGTGCTGTATGTGTGGGAGGAGAGGCAAGGTGGTGATGAGAGGTGTGTGTGTGTGTGTGTGTGTGTGTGTGAGAGAGAGAGAGAGAGAAGTTATCCTCTCTGTTTCCTCAGCACCAGCTTTGTGGTTTCTATGAGGAACAGATGTTCACAACTTGATACAGTGCCTCATCCCCCTCGACTCACTATCTCCAGTGCCAGCACCACCAACTGTCTGCACACACACAAACGCGCACTCACACAAGCGCACACACATATTGTCTCTTGGGAAACACAGTCATATATAGCAGTGACTTTCTCATGTGAGTGTATGAGGGTGTATTCACCTGCATACTGAGGACTTTTTACTGTCCGTTTCCCTCGCAGGCTCAGGCTGCATATCCTGTTCTTGAGTCAACACTTGATATGATCAGGTGTCACTTCCTCCTTTGTCAGTTTGCACTTCTGTTGGTCAGCTGTGACCCTGTGCTCTTACTCAGACTGGCAGTGTGGCCAAAGAAAACACACATATGCATGCACTTACTGTGCCTGTATGCATATAGAAGCTAAAGTCCACATGCTCGCACAGGAGTCCTCCTGTAGATAAAGATAACTGGTGGCATCTCACACTTCTTGCTCCTTGTCTCCAGATTAGTTGTTGGCAGTAGGACTATGAATGCCTGTGCATAATAAAGGTAAGGTAACCTAACATCTCACTGCAATTGAACCTCATTTTATATAGTCTGCTGTTTTTGCTGGCTCAGAAATTAAAGGGACAATTCACCCCAAAATCCAAAATAAATATTATCTTCTTACCTGCACTACTCAGTCTAGATTGCTTTAGTGTGAGTTGCTGATTGTTGGAGATATTGGCTGTAGAGATGTCTGCCTTCACTTGGCTTGTGTTGCTCAAAGTGCCAAGATAATCCACAAAACTCGCTGTGAACAGTTTCATGGAGGAACTTTTGTCTCTAAGTGCGTTTCCATTAACTCTAGAAATGTGCAAAACCTAAATATCGCAATAAAAAACTGGTAATGGAAACACCTACATTTTGAAGAAACTCAAATATTAAGAAAAAGTTTTTATGCTCTCATGAGGTGGTTTTTCAGACGTGTAGATATAGAAGTATATCGCGAAAGTGTAATGGAAACACTTTTTACGCAAATATAAGTCACCGGACATTAAAGTCCTCTGTTAATTCCTTTTTCACACCCTCTCCCAGAAATCCTTTATCCATCGTCACTGCCACACAAGGACTTTGCCTTTGAAATACCACTCGTTCTCTTCGTCTTCGGTTGTAGACTACTGCAACAGCAGCAGTGGCAACTGAGATGATTGTTCCAGCTCACAAGAGATTTGGAATGTCCATCTTACTTCCGCAAACAAAGTGGAGTCTCGCGGGAAGAGATTTTATGAGAATTACGGCTCATATGCAAAACACCTTTTAATGGAAACACCTGCAAGTCGCAATTGTACATTGTCGAAACTTTAG